GAATATTTTCTGACGGAAAATAGTGTATAGTGATTAAGTAGGATAAATTTATGATTGATAGTTGGTCTTGTCTTGCTTATAGGAGTGGATAGTATACAATCTGATGTGCGTCAATTTCACCTTGTGACTATACTAACGAATAGTAGATATTTTAAAAGACATATTAAACAGGAGCATTTACATGATGCTTATGTCTGTTGAAGAACCGATTATTATCGTCGCTGAATGGGTATTTTTAAGTTAAGTTCAAATACTAGTCAAAATTGATATGAAGCAGCGAATGTTTATAATAATTGGCGAACATAAGCGATGATAGAAAGGAAAAAGAATAAGTATAGAATCCAAGAATAGAGATTACAATAGTAGGTTGCGTTATTCAGTCTTACTTACAAGTGTAGATCACTAACGTAGATGGTCTATGTCGATTAGTTGGGGGGTCTAATCGAGTTAGACGGGAATGGTGTAAAGCCCTAGATAATCTCGAAGCTGCATCTCACGGTTAGTACCTAACGTGGGTTACCTTTCTGCTGTACCCAGGTACTGTAGCTGCTTTGATGACCGTTCAACACAAATATTTTGGTAAGAGTAGATTAATGAAGGTTCTTCTGAGCGCGGTTTCACCAGCTGTTTAATGAGAAAGATGAATCCGGTAGTAAGCCGGGCCAAAACTCAAACGTAGAGTGGCTTGAAAGTAAGTTATAACACTATTATAATCTTTAATCATGGGCAGTGGCCAACGAGGTAGAATAACAGACAACAAATGCCATTTACTTTTCATAATAGCGGTAGTGTGTATAATTACAACTAAACAATGATGTCCGTTTTTGACAACTGATAAGGAAAAGTAATACATATTTAATATAAATGTGATTACATATGTGTAACACATAAGAAGTAATATGGTCCTTATTTTTTCGTTGCAAAACTCATTGAATATACATGCCACTACAGGTTTCACTGACCCTATAAAGACAGACTGGGACATGTTAAACTATTTCCAACATCATACCGCAGATTATGAGATGAAGTAATGCAGGCTTATCGTATAGTAAGCGATGATTTGGTAATATGTTCCATTCTTTTCTACCATCTAGGACTAATCAGGTGAGAGGATATTTTAGGAAACTTCAAAATCGCAACCACAATATTTCTTTCTGGATTTTGCCCTCTCGTCAAGTGGTTAATTGATAGAATTCTCCACCCGAATAAGTAATATCAGTTTGACCACTTAATATACTCAAAGCCAGATTACTTCTTCACAGTACTACAAATTGCGAGAATCCACATAGGTTACTTGACCTCCTACCATTACTACTGAATATTGAAGATCGCCACCAACTGAAACGCTCAAAAAATTCAACCAATAGAAATCCAAAAAGATATGTGGCGCGACCTCTAACTGGCAGCTGCCTGTAGTATTTTTTATCCTTGCCTGGTGTTGAATGTTGGATTGTCTTAATTTCAAACCTATGGTATTACTGACTGTTGTCTACTGTTTTCATTAGTAAATGTAAGTTCATTCAACGTGCTTACTGAGTCTTCGGCTCAGTCTCTCCTTGTTCTTTCCAGCTTTCTTTGCTCACGCTGCTTTTCCCGGTCCCCCAACATCTAAAATTTCGTCAGACTAGGTCTCTACAGAATGTCTTTTCAGAAATCTTGGCGATTGCCACGTTCGATCAAATATTTCCGCTCTCCGTTAGCTGTTGACGACAGCAGAATTTCTAAAGCCATTCTCAAACAGTTGAATTTTAAACCAGTTACCAAAATGTCATTCCGTTTTAATCCATTGCTACAGAAAACGGAGTCTATTAGGTTAGTATGTATATGGTGACAAGAACTTTGTAGACAATTTTGTAGCATAATCAGTGATCCGAAGTGGCGAACATCCAATACTAATCTGATAATAAAGATCAATGTGCTCTCAGACAATAGCCCTCCTGAAATTGAAGTTTCATATGGTATACCATAAACACTTGTAGCTTATCCTAATTTGTTCTAGATAACGGCCGTATCCTTATCTTGAAGACAGAAAATTTAAGTCTTCGAGAGACAATAGAAATCATTATCACACATACGGGGACCATTATGGCAGAATAGTTTACCGTTAACGTTTAGTAATATATGTTTATTAACTTCACACACAGTCTTTCTAGTTATTCGTACTGCTCATACTTTTTCACTTCACATATGTAAGGAGAAATGCAGCTCCTTCGAGTCATGTTTTCTCCAGAGTAATGTTTTAGTCTTATCAGTATCCTACTATGTTTCTTATTTCGCCTCTTTGTTTAGTGTTCAATAGAAAATATTGACATGGACTTTAGTAAAAAAGGGGTTCTTGTCCACCAATTTAGTTTAAACTCAGTCTTCATTAATTATTCCTAGATTTTGCTGCATTAATGCTTAGATTTGAAGACTGCTTATCTAATTGTTAGACAATGGAGTGCGTGGTTTTTTTGTTAAAGTCGGCATAAAAGAAACTTTCGACAGATTCTTAAGTTCTTCGGGGGTAGTTTTATAAGGTATTAATATGTAGGCTTTCAACATGTATATGGAAGGCTAAAATAATCTTAGCTCTTCGTAAAAAGCAATCTGATAGTTGTGTTAGTTTACTAGTGGTTTTCGATTTCATACTCTTAGTATTGAGTTCACACTACTCTAGATAATTGGATCTTAGTCTAAATTACAGATATGTTGCTTCAGTGTTAATTATGCTTTAGTATTTCATCCATAGTTTTGCCTAGTTTATGAAATTGAATATTTTTAAACATAATGCAAGCCAAAGTTTTGTAACTAGATGCAGGGTTATTTATTAGTCACAAACATCACTTTCATGTTAACTTGATGGTCAATTTATGAAGTTAGTGAGGCTGATTCGCTTTGAGGTGAAGGCTTCCCGGTTGGGCTCAGTCAGTACTCTTAATCGATAGTTGAAGTTGGGTGACATGACGTACAGTCGGTCACAGTAGTGAAATTGCATCGATTATGTAAACCTAAATCTTGACATAAGCATCATTCCTAACTTTTCACACCTTGATCTCATTTGTTTTTTTTGAGTCGTACTTTTGGGCTTCGATTCTTTTTGTACCATTATTAACATGCTTAGGCCATCAAGTAGTATACGATTCTAAATAATTTATCTTTCCTTTCCAATTTCGTGTTTGGCAGTAGTGGTGAAAAGAATGTAGTAGAATCTAGACTAACTTTATGGTCGCTAAAATTTTTTATGTACTGAATGACATTGACCAAAAAAAATAAACTAGTGGTTGGCCCGTATTATGGAAAATCTTTTGGTCAATGGTTTCTTTGGTGCGGTGCAGTCGGTGCATGTGTATGTCAGTCTGAGAAACCACATCTGTCAGTATAAATAGAAAAATTTGATTCCATTGTAAATCAAGTTAGTATGGTCTTTTTAGCTCCCTAAACAAATAATAAGTAAACTTTTTAAGTGTATCGTCCCTTCAATTCACCCAGTTCTGTTCCTTGTTTTTGGACTCCATGGTTTTATGTTCTTCATAACATCTTTCATTTCGTCACATGTAGCACCATATCCTTAGGTTTTTTATGTAGTTTTTCCTGGCAAATAAAATGAAGTTACTTGCTCACAGTACGAAATAATTTACAGTCGACTTCGATTTCTGATCCGTGTTGTCTAGATGCAAGTATCGTCCAGATGAAATGTGTTATTTTTAACTTAGTCTCTTTTTCGATATCTTCAATCTCAATTAGCTTTAATAATGTGTCTACATAAGCACTTATATTCCGTATTCTGGCCAACAAGACCACTTAATTTCATTTTTTCACTGGTACTCGTTCAGAGATAAAAGTCTCTTTGTTTAACGTCCCAGCCATAGATCTCCCGCCAGAATATTCACTTATTGACTTTGAATAAGCGAATGATAATTCGGTCTTGATAATACCCCGGTTTATTTATTTATTTAAACACATAAATATCGGTACAATGAAGCACCAGATAAATATGCGACTCACAAATCTCATTCGATTTGTGTGAGGGCTGTGATACTGCCCAGGTGCCCAGACTGAAGCAGGTGGTTTTCTTAGGGGGCCATACCCGGAGCCTTTGACCTGAATGTCTGATCCACAAGGCAGTGGAGCATCGTGAGGAGATGCAGTCCCATGGTAGCCGTTGACCAATGACAGGTTCGTCCGCCATTCGTTCCATCAGGATACTGGAGCCCATGTGCACCATTGGTTTGGAATCAGGGTTTTCCAACTCCCTTAGGTGGACCCTCCGTGTCCACCAACCCGGTTAAAGCGACGGACATTCGCTTTTCGTCCTCTCACTTTCGTAAACAACGCCCCCGCCACGAGAAGGCAGTGAGTAGGACTTCTGTGGCAGAGGCTATATATTCGCTGGCCATATGAGAGTATTTCGAGAGGGAGAGGTGACTCTCCCCACTCTCGGCCGTACCAGGGCATTTGGGGGTTAATACCCCGGTACGGGGCATTATTTCAAACGCTTTGATCAGATAAGCAAACACGATTGAATGATGATGGACCGAAGCTTCATCGGCTGAGGTGGTTTAGATATGTGTAGTCACCACCTACCCTCAATGTGCAATGTTGACTGAGTTGAGGAAAAGAATCTTGGATGCTTGTGCACTTTACACTGAAAATGTTTACTCGCTAGTTTTTTTAAATTCGTGCTTTGATATCAAGTAAAATAGATCGGATTTTCATACGAATGTAATGTTGTATTCTCTCCTAAATCTTTTAAACCTTAATCAAATCCATTATGCTCACAATAAGAATTCACCGCTTTGTAATTTAATACAAACTATGTCTTATATGAAACGTGGCTACCCTATTACTTTTTGTCAAACAGTCAAATCAGTAATTCAGTTATCTACAGCTGTGGTGTCCCGATAACAATAGTGAATGGTAACTTTGGGATCCATTTATGGACCAATACTATGCATATATATATATATATATATATATATATATATTGGATTCAAGTTGCCTTAGCTCAACATAACAAGATAAACACCAAATTCATAAAAGCAGTTACTTTAATGGTAGAAATATATGAGAAAACTTTGCATATAAGGATATAATACAGGGAGGAAAATTGGTTCGTAGAAAGAAAGGTATAAAGTAATTTCATTCTCACGGTTCAAAATATGATAGAGTGTATGCACCTACGCCATTGTGATTGGTTCTGAGCCATCTCACCCGAGTCTCCAACCACCAGTTACGATAGTCGCGAGAACCCCAACCAAGTAGTCTGCATCGACCAACATTGCTCAAACCAGAAGTTAACGACTTTACAGACTGGTATCACATGTTGGTTTGGCTGCCCCCAACTTTTTTCCATCCGTCTCCAACAATAATCAACATTGTGCGCTATTGAATCAAATACTTTGTGTGTATAGTATATATTAACGTAGTTCATTATACTTATAATAAAATTGTTTAGCAACGTAAATATCTTCTTTTTTGTTGTTGAAAGGAACGCCTGACATTGAATGATGATATTGTCAAAGTTCCATACATTTCCGTATAATGACGATTCTATCTGTCCACTATACTGTTCATCTATGTTTATTGTATATAAATTATTAATTACGTCTAAAACATTGATAAACATGATCGATTCATAACCATTTTATGAATAAATTTATTGAATTCAACCCAACTATCTGGGTGAAAGAGAACAAGTAGTCAGTCAGTCAAATGCAACTTGGGACCTGACACATGCGTACATCGGTTCATATTTTCATGCCGTGTTAGCATAGGGAAATGAAATTGCTATGGCACATCTCAACAGTTAAGGTAGTAACAGTATTAGTGGTAATCGACGAGATTAGGTATCTGAGATATAATTCGAGAAGTATATAATAGTGAAATAATTAAAGGAAAACATATGAATTTAGAAGTTTAGAACTTAAAGGAATACAAAGCATGATTGTCCGTGCACCATTGTTAACAATCTTCAGTCATGCTATTCAGTGTCTAACTGTTGGATTGAACTCCAATTATGTAGTCTGAACCTGCCTACATGACTATCCAACAGTCAATTTCTTCATCTACAGATACAATGTCTAGATTTGGCAGCTTCTAGGTTTTTTGCAACCTAATTGTACGTTAGCCACTTTTATGCATCAAGGTAGTCAGTGCGTAAGTATACTTATTAAATGTTCCAATCATCCTAGTCGATAAAAATTCACTACCTTAATGGACTGAGTACAGTTCACAGTAGTGGAATGGTGTGCGTACGCTTCTATGTTACTACATCTGCTACAATTCGACATCACGATTCAAATACGCAAATTTTAGCCACTCTACAAATTTCAACCCAAACCAGCAATCCACCCTGTATTACTGTGCAACCACAACATAGCCTGTGAAAGTAGATGTACACAGACTTGTACACAGTATTTTATCATAGGTATCTTCAGAGCGCTGGTGATATTTGGTGGGTCCACTGACATGATACTCATTGTACTAGGTAGAAAGAATAAATCTACTGATGACAAGGCTATAAACTTTCATCAGCTAAGATCACTAGATGTTTTATTCATTCTTAACTTTCGCTTCTCATTACGGCATACAATATTGACTGAGAGAAGTAAATTATAGAGGAGCTAAGATTAAGCGAATTATGACATCACAGTGCGTAAAATTACTAACTGTTCTTTCAAGGCATATCGAAAGTTGTAAACATTCAACTTAGTTAGGGCTTACGCAATATTCATAAAATCAAGTGTAATGAATTGATTCTCAAAATCATTAGCTTTTCTGTTGTCGTCATCTATTTTAGTGTCGATATATTTTTCACATTCTAGATATAAACAGATCGATGACCGATTCAAATCCAATGGAATACGACTGTGATTCAGATGATTGGCAAGAAGTTACACTGCCTGATTCACTTTCACCAGAAAAGTATACTTGTTTAATGTGTGAAAATCATTTTAACACATCTCCACTATTTTTTCAACATCTTACCCTTCAACATGATTGGGTCAATTTTTTAGACGGTGAAGGCAAGAGTATTTTCAATGATCAATATGATTGGATTCGATTTGTTAATTTTGTTCGCAAAACTGTAAGTTCGATAACGTTTTTGATATAACGGATGGTTTAAAACATTCTTCTTTCAGGTATATCACGATATAAGACTAGTGAAGTCGAATCAGATTCAGGATTCACTACTCGAAATAGAGGTCAGAGTATAGACATAACCACAAGCGGTCACTCTCAGTGAGTCCGTAGTGGAAATCAATGAGACGAAGAGAAATCACATATTTAGTAGTTAATAAGACCACGAGCCTGTTTGTCCACGCTTGGTGCCAATCATATTTTACCTTCACCACCATATATCAGTTTTGAGTAATAATAAAATAAAACACATATATCTTTTTGTTGCGGCGTTCCTGAAAATTTCTCGGAATAGACAAGAAAGGCTCAGGAAACACTAAGAAGCATTTTATCCAATCAGCATTCACTAGAAGTTTTGCCAAAAACATCACGAAAGTGAAAAGCCACATGTAGAGTTTCTGATTGGCCGATTACTACACTGCTACTATGTTTAGTAGCATTCCAGAATTTTCAGGAAAGCCCAAGGACTTCTAAAATGCTATAAAAACCCTATATTTTCTGTACATGAATGAACCTTTGAAGTAAAATGCTTCTCGCATATTTTACACCTTTTCCTTCATGTTCAAGTTGCTGTGTAGATTTAGCTTGGGGGGTTACGAGACTAGCTTAGGATCCGAATATAGCGTTCAATTAAGAAGACTTATCACTTTTGTTGATAGTAAATATCAGTATTTTGTATGAGTTGTTTATTAAAGCTGATATTTACTTACCCGTTGGTGTCCGTAGTTGGGTATATGGTTTTCACTATGTAATTGCGAATTTCTCCCGGTGGTAAGCCGCTAGAAGTATTCAAAGAGTTTGTTTACCTGGGTAATTGTGTGTACTGATGGTGGCGTGAGTGATAAGATTTGTCTACGTGAATTTGAAAACCAGGTCGGCTTATGCTTATCTTGGCTATCCTTGCTGTTGTGATGTTGGTCTGTCCATAAAAAACTGGGTTTACAATGCGTCAATGAAGGTTAGTTAGCCCGACATGATCACTTTCGTAGTGACTAATTTCTTCTATATCTGACTCCAATAAATAATATCCCGTTAACTGAGTATTTAACTCAGGCTAAATCTCCTTGTAGTATTATGAATTTACTCGAGATTATTCCAAAGCCAGAACACCAGTTGTGGAGATAGTTTATTGCTAATAATTAGTGAAAATCCTCAAGCGCGCAGAAAAAAAGCACATAGGGAAACCAGTAATTGTGTGTGTTGAAAAATCCACATAATATTTATGAGTGTCAATCGATTGTTGATGGATTATTGATTTTCTGTGTTTATAACCAATGGGAGAATAGGTAAAGGTTGATGTGCAGAAATGCACTCAATCATACACATAATTTTACATAGTGGATTAAATATCTACATTACAGCGAATAGAAAAATTGTAAAATAGTTGAATGGGCTTACTACAAAACCCGGCCATTCTTGTTCACATATTTTAAGTTTTCATTTGTACTTGTTTTCCCTCCGTTTCTTCACAATATTATCTCTTTGTTTTGTGTAGCGCACATTTCTTTTCTCTTGGTAGTACCCAGTTACGCCAGACTTTATGTGTATTATTAGATAATAGGGTACTTATGATATACTAAGCTCCCTTGATATACACACAACTTCTAACAGTTTCTGTTACATGTTGAATTCAGTGAATTGCGATCGATTTCGTGATTGATTAATTAATTAACTAAATCTTTTCTTGTTATTTATTCATATCTTACTGGGTTTCTTCTCACTTGAATCAATTCTAAGGGTAATGTAGTGTAGCTTATAAAATTACTTACCACTTAATAACATCAATCATCTGTAGTTGCTTTAGATTGTAAAAAAGAATAACTTGTACGCATTTATGCATATTTTAGAAACCAGTGGATTTACGTCAAGCATTTTATGATATGGTTTGGAAAACGGACTCCTTAGATCTACTCTATCCAGTTCTTCCGGATGATGAAGTTCTATCGATTGGTAAGTGTTTTATTCGGGTATTTTTGGTTTTTGTTTTGGAAAAAAGTTGTCTGGGATACATTATACCCCAAAATACAGACATACAAAAGAGAAAATCAGTTTTCATTCCACATGTCTATCAACTTAAGGTTATATATATATATATATATATATATATATATATACGAATATACGGAACTCAGAACAACTGCCAACCAACATCAAAGTGAGAATCTTCAATACGACCGTCAAGTCAGTTCTATTATACGAAGCTCAAACATGGAAAACTACCACAACCGACGTTAAAAATGCATAAGTATTGATAAAAAAATGTCTACTCAAGATACTGAATGTCCGTTGACCGGGTACCATCAGAAACAGCCTGCTGTGGAAGAGAACAGACCAGCTTCCAACTCAAGAGGAAGTTAAGAAGAGACGTTGAAAGTGGATAAGACACACATTGTGAAAATCATCAAACTGAATCACGAGACAAGCGTTAACTTGGAATCCTGAAGGGTAAAGGAAAAGAAGAAGTCCGAAAAACACACTGCGATGAGGATTGGAAGCAGACATGAAATGAATGAATAGCAACTGGAAAGGATTACTCAAAACAGAATTGGATGGCGAATGCTCGTGATTGGCCTATGCTCCAGGATGTTTGGGATGCGTTTCTCCTCATCCAAATGTAAATTATTACTTTAGGACTGGCCTGCGTCAACACCCGAACTAAGGATAGGGAGTGAAGTAGTCGAACGCGTGGAGAACTTCACTTATCTTGGAAGTCTGATCAGCTCTAATGGGTTGGTGTCTGACGAAATCTCAGCACGGATTCAAAAAGCTCGTTTGGCTTTTGCCAACTTACGTCACCTATGGCGAAGACGAGATATCCGTCTATCAATTAAAGGACGAGTTCGCTCTGTTCTACTTTACGGTTGTGAAACATGGTCATTAAGAGTAGAAGATACTCGTAAGTTACTAATATTTGACCACAGATGCCTTAGAAATATTGGTCGCATCTGCTGGGATAACCGGGTAAGTAATAGTGAGGTTAGACGAAGGGTATTAGGGAATGATGGTAAATCAGTTGATGAGGTGATGAATCTTCATCGACTGAGATGGTTGTGCCACGTGTTACGTATGCCTGAACACCGATTACCACGACGCGCTATGATGATTAGTACTGGTGATTGTTGGAAGAGAGTTAGGGGCGGCCAAACCAAAACATGGCATCAGTGTTTGAAGTCACTAACTTCTAGTCTGAGCCATGTTGGCAGATGCAGACTACCTGGTTGGTATCCGCGTGACTATCGTAACCATTGGTTGGAGACTCTGTGTGACATGGCTCAGAATCGATCACAATGGCGTAGGTGTATACACTCTTTATCTTCCTTTAAACCTTGAGACTAAAATTGCTTCATATCTCTCTTCCTTCCTTTACTATATCCTTATATACAACCTATAATTTATATACTACTACCACCACTAAATTAATTACTTCTATGAATCCGGTGTTGATCTTGTTGTGCTAACGAGGTATAGCAACTTGGACCGATGCATAAATGTGCCTAGTCCTACGTTGTAGCTGACTGACTGACTATGCTCCTCCATGAGGCGTAACGGGCATAAGTAAATAAGTGTCCATAATTGTATAAATAACTGAACATAGGAGATGCAGTTGAGAAGTAAATAATGAATTATCCACGGAAAATTGGGGAAAAAATAAATGCAGCTATGCATCACTATGACCATTTGTGAACCAATGCCACTTTTGCGTAATTCACTAACTATAATCAGTTGATGGGATAGATTTAGCTCTTTAACTTTCATACTTTGTGACGGCTAATAATACTACTACCACTACTAAGCAGTAGTAGTTCGAACCAAAGTAGTTGAACTATTAAAAAAACTGAAGTCGATATTTTGCAAACAAACATTTTTCGACCAATATTAACAGTTACATAATTATTAAGTCATCAAGTTTTCGTATTTTAACTTCTTTTTCCCTGATTACAATTAGTAGTTTCCTACTCTTCATCCCATTTTCATAATATTTACATAATTCTGGTGTGGATTGATGACTTACGGGTTTAAACTGTCGAATTTCAGCCTATTAAGTTGCAGGCTCAAACTCGCTGCACCCCAACCACTTCGATTTGGGTAATTTTTTAGTAGTAATGTCAGTCACTAGTCTTCATGCATAATATGTGGCTTGAAACCAAGTATATACATCTAATGAGTTAATGATTCTGTTACTATTCAGCTGATTCTTTTCTATCATACCCTCCCCACCTCAGATATTGAATCCTATTTATTGGATAATCAACGAAGTAATCAGTCACCTGGGATAGTTGTACATGAAAAGTCAACTAATCAACAACCTGTATCACAAGAAATGTCACGTATCGTGGCAGAAAATAAATCGTTACGTACGCAGTTAAATAATTGCAAGTAAATTATTGTTATGTTTGTTGAATAAAAGTTTGATTAGTTAACTTAATTCGTGTTGGTTTCGGATTATCTCGTTGTTGATATTCTTGAATGAAATCTGATCAGTTTTGGTTGGGATATGTGCATCCTGTGCAGGATTACCTTGATTCTTTACAAATTGTGATACAAGTTTACATACAACTAATGGAAAGTGGCTGGCAGTGAAATCGAAAACTCGGGTTTCATCGTTTTTGGGACCCATCTTTAGCTAGCAGTATCTGCATCATAGAGTTGATATTCACTTTGGGGCTTTAACTCAGTAGCTAAGTGGATAATTCGTTGCCGGTTGAAGCAAACGGTACTGTGTTTGACTCCCAGAGTGAATATTAACTCTGAGGTTCAGGTACATCCAGCTACAGAAATAGGATGAAACTCATATTTTGGATTCCACCGCTATCCACTTTACATTTATTCTATGTAAAAATTAGACCAGTTAATTTAATTCTACATTTAAATTATTTATTTATTTATTTGAACACATAAATATTGGTACAAAGGGGCACCAAATACATATGCGTCACATAAATCTTATTTGATTTGCGTGAGGGCTGATACTACCCGGGTGCCCAAACCAAAGCAGGTCATTTTCTTCGGGAGCCACACCTGGAGCCTTTGACCGAAAGATCTGATCCACAAGGCAGTGGAGTATTGTAAGGAGATGCAGTCCTATGGTAGCCGGTGACCAGCGATTGATTCATACGGCATTTGTTCGTTCAGGATACTAGAGCCAGCCCATGTGCACCATTGGTTTGTAATCAGGGTTTTCCAACTCCCCTAGCTGAACTTTTCGTGTCTACCAACCCGGTTAAAACGCCAGACATTCGCTTTTCGTCCTCTCACTTTCGTAAACAACGCCCCCGCCACGAGAGGGCAGTGAGTAGGACTTCCCTGTCAGAGGCTATATACGCGTGGCCATATGAGAGCGTTTGGAGAGGGAGGGCGGACTCTCCCCACTTTCGGCCGTACCAGGGCATTTGTGGGCCGTAAATAAATAATTGGTCATAAGAGGAAATTATAAATTTTTTCACTTACTGACGGGAATGTGTTGTAAGGGTGCAACATTGAGACCGGTTGTATGGAATATCGTTCACTTCTATTGTAACTAATTATTATCAGATGTATAACTTATTTCCACCGGGGTCCAATTGCTTAATTAGTAGCTTTATATTGACATCTTTGTGTTGTGTATTAGGAATTAGTCTACAGAAAAAAAATCCTGAACTTGTGTTTCATACTAGTAGATACTTGGTAGGACATAATACAGTATTATAATATATGTACGTAGTAGCAACCCAAATAAATACAATCAGTAGCAGTGGATTATGGTTAAGCAATATCGTGACTAAAGTTAGAAATGTAAGTTATTAGGTACCAACTCACTAGTCTAAGGGTTATACACACCACAACTCTTGAGGATCCTGTGTTTGATCTTCGATAGGGTTATGGGTGAACATTGGCAAGGAGTCTCACACTAAAATGGCAGATGCGTAGAATTCACCTAGGTGAGTTAGAAAACCGTGATTCCATACCAATGGTGCATATGGGCTCCATGATCGTGAGGGAAAAATAGCGTATGAACCTATTCTTGGTCACCGGTTACCGTAGGACCACATCTCCCAACGTTGCTCCACTGATTTGTGGATTAGACCTTTGGATCAACGTCTCTGAGAGTGGCTCTCTGACAAAACCACATGCTTCGGTTCAAGCACCCAGTCAGTATCCCATACCTCCCACAAATTCCGTGTGGTGCATATATATTTTAATGCTTTTTTGTACCGATGTTTGTGCATTTAAATAAATAAATGAGGATGAAGTAGAGTTGCTCAATGCTTCCTTGTTTTGCACTGATTATCTAACCAAAATTAGTCCCTATTATGAAACTTAAAATTCAACAACCTCCACCATAACTCATAAAGAATTTCATCTGTTTATTAGAGTTTGACACTCAGTCAATGGAATACAGGACGCGTATTTAGCCCTGTTTGGGACCCATCTGCTGGATATACCTACATTCCAGTGTTGACGTTCACTTTAAGACTCGAGCCTAGTGTTTGTCATTTTAAACGCGCTACGATTTGCCCATTGAACTGTGAAGTTAAGATAACCATTAGCTTGTGCAACAGGTATAAATTATTTTGTAAGGGTTTGTATTTTTCCATCTTCTAGTCAAATACATTTGGCTGACGAGTCTCAAATGGGACTAAATGCATGTCTCGCATTTCATTGCTACCCACTATTTGATTTAACTAAAAAACTTGTCACTATATGGTGTTGTTATTATTGTTGTCTTCTTTTGTACGCTTATTTGTGAGTGGTCAATGCTAATGATCTTTCTCATCCTCGTTTTATATTACTAGACGCTTACTTTCAACTATGTCTGCCCAATCAGTTCGAAGAAAATCACCATGCGATCAATCGTCTGATTATGACTTGGACATAGAACCGAATGATTCTTCATATTTTGGATCTTATGGTCATTTTGAAATACACGGTGAAATGATAAGTAAGTTAATCATAACAATAGCTTTGTAATGTTTTTCCCCCAAGGGATTTAAAGGTAATTGATCCTAATCATTGTAAGATTTAGCGTGAATAAGTTCATCGTCCTACAATAATTCATATCAGCAGAATAAGAAGAAAATTTAACACGACGAAATGCAAATTAATGAAGTATCACACATAATAGAAAGCACTGAGCATAGCTATATTTAAATGACGAGCTTTGAGTAGGACGAAATTTGAGTTTTGGATCCCACTGCTAATCAATTTCACGTCATATCACTTTAGGCTCTCACTTGAATTGTCATTTACGATTGTCCCACTGAGTTATTTTAGCCTAGAGATTTGGATTTCTCATCACAATATCCTTTCAACAGTCAGTAACTTCAACTGATATTTTTTCGATCCAGATGTTGCTAACTTTAGTTCGATCAAATATGTATGCTGGTTGACATTAAAAATCCACATCGATAGTGCCTGTTATAACATATGTTACGTGTGTGCAGATTCCTTGTAAGTTGTTTCAACAAATATGAGTAGTTTGAAACTAAATGTAAGGAATGATGGATGCTTGAAGATTTCGTGGTGGTTTGAACTCGTTGGCGAGACGTACTTGAAATCTTGAAGGAAATAATGATCCCTGTGGGATTTGAAGTCACTTCACTCAGCTACACCGTCTACGACGTTACCACTAAGTTATCCCGATCATAACCCACCTTTTATTGGACTGAAATACTATATAATTGACATTGTCATACTGTTTGGATTCGGTAGCTAATAATATAGACACCTGACTACTAATACCAGTAGTTTAGGATTAGACTCGTTAAAACTAAAGTTCTTCAACTATTTTCAGGTTACAGCTCAATTTAGTATCAACACTCCCATAAGTTGATTTCTTACACTGTCAAAGGTTTGACGGTGGTTATCACTTTTTGTCTACATCGTAAAATAATACTTCCCAAAGGACCTGAAAAGGAAACTGAGTTAATGGTGGTCTTGATAGCTTATGAGCATGACCACCGAAAAAAAAGAGGCAACCCACTAAGCCTGTTAGCATATAGCCTTTTACGAGTACCTCTTAATTTGTTTGCTTCATACGCTTCAAACCTTACCATTAGTAAAATAAATTTCTGCTGGATGGGAGTAAAGTAAGGTTATATATTTAGGACTGACATTTCTAACCTAATCCTTCCTTTGTAATAAATCAGCAACACTACAGATTCCGATCATCTTAATGGAAATAACTTACGATTATTCAAATCCTATGCAGCTGGCAGTACAACTTCTCCTTAGGACCCTATGTTTATTAGATTCAGTTTTGCTGCTCTCCAACTGACCTCGTGGTTTGTCGAAGAGTGAAGAAGCCAGTATTCCAGTCAATATATACCTCTTTTAGATTATCATGATATACATGAGTGATCACCGTATAAAACTAGCAGTCACAACAGAACAATACTGTTTGGTTACACTGACTCGTTAGTTAATTTCAGAAATTTTTCGAAAACTGAAATATGTCGAGTATAATTGTGAAGTATCAGGTATTTCTTTCTCTTCACTATGCTAATCGTAATAAAAGTAATATGTCTAATACTTATTATGGAAATGTACATGTAGATAACACTTGTGCTAAAATCTATTTTTTGACATTAGTTCAAATGGTCACTTTATATTATAACAAATTTTTATGTCTAAACTTACTCACCAGACACTTGGACAATATGAACCACATTCTATGTATGGGAACTAGTGATATGATCACTCGGTTGCTCAAACCGTAGTAGGTGGAAGCGGGACTCGTACCGGTAACTTGGCGGGTGAAAGTTGAACACCATCAAACAACCACTTCACTATTCCATCTGTTAAATTTTAAAACAGGTTAATAAATATCATTAATTTTCATTTAGAGGAATAATAACGTCGTAATCGGTGTTTAGTAAGGTGTTATGTCCTACAAGCAACCAATACGTAGCAAGGACGAGGAAGACTGATACTCTATGCCTGATAGTTGGATTCTGCACTAAAAACCTAGTAACCTTTATGTTTGATGTGATCGGCTGGCTAAAGTTTGTCCATATAGTTTACTCCTCCCTCCCGTCTTTTCTATTAGCGTGTGGATTTCTAACGTTGAAATGTTGGTACGTGTTTTGTGTGTGTTGGATATCCAGTATATCCAATTCGTATTCATCCTCTTTTGTATAAGTAGAATAATCCTCAGTTGTTCGTTAGTTAAATCTCAGGTAAATCGTTCAGGAACCCCAATGCGTAATCGTTTTTTGAAGCCAAGACTTAATAGTTCTACATTTTTTAATTGTGCGAATTTGTTGCTAAATTGATTTTTTTCTCATATCTATATAGATGATCGTGTACGTACTGAATCTTATGTGAATTTCATCTTGTCTAATGCCGAAAAATATTTTAAGCACAAAATTATTTTGGACGTTGGCTCTGGTTCAGGTATTCTGTCGATTATCGCTGCACAAGCCGGTGCTTCACATGTTTACGGTGTAGAAGCTGCTGACGAGATCTATGCAGCTTCACATGAAACTTTAAGGTATGCATATTGAATTATATGTTTATGTTGTTTGGGCGATTGATTTTTTTCGTGGGCTAGTATATAGTCTGACAGGTATTTTGTGTCATCCATATATTTCCCTGCCCCTTGTACTTATTTGATTGTCGGTTGTTGGGTAATAAATATGTAGTGAACGAGAAACCAGGTGGAAAAGGCCAATTTATTGTTTAATGCTTAATCACACATCAAATACATTATTTGCAAATCTTTGAATTGTCTCTTGCATGTTTTATTGTTCCTTTATTCTTGTTGTTATCTTGATTGCTTTCAGTTTCCTCCTCTCTTTTCATTTCAACCTCCTCACAGACATTCCACCTTCGACTGGTTTTACATACTAATATCTGTCAGCATAACTAGCGTACACCGCATATGTACTAGTCAGGCGAGTCACGTGTCATTGATTTGAGTTTTGTTGAAGCTTTGTGGAATAATGCTGGCTAGGTATCTGGTATAGAGGGAGTGAATCGTTTACACAGATAAATTGTTCGTTGTTCATCCTAAGCAATTTTGTGTCCTATTAGTGTAAAGGAGAAATACGAGCATTAATTTGGTACGATACGTCTATCAGTATTTGAATCCAACCAGGGATTATCACACTTATTAATCCACCAGGGGTCTTGGTACCTACTTGTAAGTAGTTGTGCCTTATAATCAAGATGTTCTCTCCAGTTTCTAAAGATCGCAGATGACGTTCGAATCTCTCAAAAACCAATGTAAAATTACCTTCCTATGGGGTATACGTATAATTGTGTTTCTAAGACAAATCGAGTAAAGAATACGTGCACAGCATAGGTTTTTGGCAGTTAGCGAATTCAAACCTGATCCTTGTGTGTTTATGTTTTTTCTTCCGACATTCCTTAAGCCGTTGTTAACAATCACGAATTCCTTTTTAGTTCGTTTCTTAATACGGTAATGTTTTTGTCCCTACATTCAAACATTTTTCCAAATATACTTAAATGTGTATATATTATTTGTTCGTCCAGGGCAACCCTCTTTGGCATCGGAACTAAGTTTTCTACTGAAGCTCTGATTGTAAGAAAATAGCTGTGAGATTAAGCAAAAGGATACGAGGAGATTCACCTGATTTCATTGTTCGAGGAAGCCTCAATTTGGAGTATTCGGTTGTTTTATCAATCTCTGTCAGTATTGCAGTATTTTCTCACATATATACAACCTTGTTGCATATTTTACAACAGCACTTTATTCTGTTTTTCTTTCAGTTCAAATTAGTAGAATGAAAACATCTTTTGACTTATATTAAGATCCATTAAATCCATCTCGGTACTTAGTTTTTTCGAGCTGTTCAATCTAACTTTGTCATGTAATTCAGACATCTTTCTCATTGACGATGACATTAGATAATAATCATATTATTCATCTCAGATTGAGAGAAGTTCATCAATTCAGAACTTTGAATCCCAACTTATTATAGTCTTTTGTTCTCAAAACAAGTCCTAGAGTTCCACTATTCAATTCCGTATATGTATGTTAGCGCGGAGGATTGTTGGTCCATACTATAGATGAGACTCGAATTAAGATGAGGTTACTGTTCAGTACTTCTTAGTTTCTATTGGGTTTTTCAACAGTGATGTATCTCCTCTGTGTCACAGAAACTATCTTCAAAATACTTTGAATATTGGCCTAACATTTTTATTGAGCCTTGTTGGTAGATGAACACTACCTGGCTGAAGTCTTTGCAATTATTTTCTTAATCAATGTTTAGAGATATTCAATAGTATAGTTCATAATTAGCCTCATTAGCCCCAGGTATATTCACTGTTTATCCTTCCTTACATCTTGAGTTTTGGAAAATCATCTTATACCTCTTCATTTTCTCCTCTTATTCATTCTTTTTTGAGTCGTATTGTCTGCAATTAGTCCCTAATACTGCTACTACTCTCACTAACGCTATTATTATTATTATTATTATTACTAATACTACTCTGGCATATGTCTTTATTGTTTCATCTCGTCGTGATATGGTGTAGCATGTTTAATTGATGGACATATATGGCAGGTTCTATGTTGCTCATGACTTACTGACTGAATGAAATGTTACGGACCAAATATTTTTCGTACTTTATGAGATTAATTTTTATATTTTCCAAATGAATCTATCATCATCATTATTGCTATTAGACTCATTCTTATACATATTACTTGTTGCATTGTTTTTGTTTTCCTCGCCCCATCGTCGCCGCAAAACTATGTCAGAGTGAACAATTTACTAGAACGTGTTACTTTTATTCATGGTCAAGCGGAATCTGTTGAATTACCAGTTAAAAAGGTAGGTCATTGATGTATTCTGTTCCTGCCTTCCCTATTAGTAGTTTAAAATTATCCTATTTGTTTTTTTTGGGGGGGGAATAAATGAGATTTTCTCTCAAAAAATTGTTATTTATTTATTTAAACACATAAAAATTGGTACAAGGAGGTACTGAATATACATGCTCCACACTTCACCATTCGATATTTGAGTCCTGGAGTACTGCTCATGTGCCCAACTCAAAACAGGTTGTTTTCTTAAGAAGCCACTACCCCAGCCTTTGACCTAGGGTTCGAATCCACAAGGCAAGGGCGCAAGGTCAGGAGATGCAGTCCCATGGTGACTAGTGATTAACGATAGGTTTACACGCAATCCCCCCCCCATGATCCTGGAGCCATGTGCACCATTGGTTTGGAATCAGAGTTTTCTAAGACTAGTCCGTGATGTAAACTTCGCTTATTTATTTACTTTTTTTTCGTTTACTTTATTCCAGGTTGATGTAATCATCTCTGAGTGGATGGGATATTTTTTATTTTTTGAATCAATGCTTGATTCTGTCTTAAAAATGGCATCGAAATATTTATCCCGTGATGGACATATATTTCCACGTCATTATACATTAAATTTATTAGGTGTACAATGTTCCGAACAATTACGTAAACGTCGTTTAGAACATTGGAATAATGTATACGGTTACAATATGCCAGCATTACGTCGTGCTGCATTGAGTGAAGCACATGTATTAAATTTAACAAATGAACATGTTACACCACCAATATCCCCTATTACTATATTAACACAATCATTTGAATTAGTTGCGCTGGATTTAGACGATATGCATCGTAATCGTATTTATAATTTATCAAATCATTGTTCACTTTTATGTGAGCAAAAATTTCATTTAACTATACAACCTACTACTGACATTAATAATAATAGCAGTAGTAGTAATTATGAATTAGATGCAATTGTTGGCTATTTCGATGTACGTTTTGATGATGATGCCGATTGTAAAGTAAGCATAAAGATTTGCTATCAATTTTATTCTCATAGATTTTATATCCTAAACTGATCTTAGCTAGACTAACACCATTAAAAATCTGGAAGTATTGAACAATCATTTCGTCTTAATTTGTGACCATTTAGCAGTATGCATCCACAACTGTACAATCAGGAATCAAACCCAGGATTTTCTGTCTTGTGTGCTGAGGTTTAACTTTTAAACCACTGAGCCGGCATTCAATAATAATAAAACTTACTATAGCACTTAACGGCCATCTAATACTTCCAAGTTTTCAAAGATGTCGTAACCAAAGATCAGTTCATCATATAAAGTATACGAAAAGTTTATGATCTTCATAAAACCTTACGCTGTTAGTTTCATTGTCAATTTAGATCATAGTGAATATTCATATTCAAAGATTTGATAATAAGATGAATTTAGAAAAGAACCTTTTTTTCTAGCTAATTGTTTGCCACAGCGCTACCAGCAAAGTAATAACACGGATGTCAAGAACGAAGAGCTTTTTTAAAAACTTTTACTTTAGACAAACTGAATACAGTTTTTTTTGTACAATCATCTGATAATTAGAGCTGACCAATAAAGACAAATTATCTAATTTCGCCATATTCACATGTGTTTATTAGTTATCCAACTGCTCCTTTGGAGCCGAAGCGAAATAAAGTAAACCAGAGAGACCGGTCAAGTATAAAGAAGGCAAGACAATCAATGAGATTCAAGAACAACGGGACAAGTGGGTAGACAACTTTGAGAAACTCCTGCATAGACCAGCTCTATTGAATCCATTAGAGATTGAAACAGCACCTACAGACATACTTATATCTGTCACTCTACCAACGATCGAAGAAATCAGGATGTCCATTAGACAAATGAAGAATGAGAAAGCAGCAGGACCTGACCATATACCACATGAATCAATGAAGTTCGAAGGTAACTGCAAACATGCTCCACATTCTGTTCAGGAGGATTTGGGAGGAGAAACAAGCATCGACAAACCGGAAATAAGGGTTGCCCAAGATAGAGTTCGATGGAGAATCATAGTGATTCAGTGCTCTTCTTTTTCTGGCGCAGTTATGTCCATATTATAATTCAATTCTCTTGATGTATAGTCAGCATTTTGTTCTAGATTATTGTATGCTTACTTTCGTCCGTTACCTGTCGTAAAGGAGCGATAGGCCGCCCACTAGGTTTCCCCATCGAACTCTGTCCTGGACAATCCTTCCTGCCTGTAGCTCTTCTAACGTTACGAGAAAATCAGGCTGGGTTCAGACTTGGTCGTGGCTGTATCGACCACATATTCACCATTCGTCAAGTTTTAGAGCACAGACACGCTTATCGGCGTCCGACAATGATAGTTTTTCTTGGCTTAAAAGCAGCATTTGATTCTGTAGACCGAGAGGTTCTGTGGTAGTGTCTGTCATTGAAAGGTGTACCTGAGAAGTACATAAACCTTGTGAAGGCTCTTTACTCGAACACTACCAGTCGAGTGAGAGCTTATGGCGAACTGTCATATGATTTTACAACCTCAAGTGGTGTCCGTCAAGGCTGTCCACTATCCCCATTTTTGTTTAACTTCATTATAGACCTGTTGCTGGAAATAACACTCTCTTCGACTGAATCTACAGGAATTGATCTCCTACCAGGAGGACCACTAAGCGACTTAGAATACGCAGATGACATAGTCCTGTTTGGTGAAGACGCTGGCAAAATGCAGAGTCTTCTGTTGGAACTCAGTAATAATGCCAGGATGTTTGGGATGCGTTTCTCCCCATCCAAAATTAAATTATTACTCTAGGACTGGCCTGCGTCAACACCCGAACTAAGGATAGGGAGTGAAGTAGTCGAACGCGTGGAGAACTTCACTTATCTTGGAAGTCTGATCAGCTCTAATGGGTTGGTGTCTGACGAAATCTCAGCACGGATTCAAAAAGCTCGTTTGGCTTTTGCCAACTTACGTCACCTATGGCGAAGACGAGATATCCGTCTATCAATTAAGGGACGAGTATACTGCTCAGCAGTTCGCTCTGTTCTACTTTACGGCTGCGAAACATGGCCATTAAGAGTAGAAGATACTCGTAAGTTACTAGTATTTGACCACAGATGTCTTAGAAATATTGGTCGCATCTTCTGGGATCACCGGGTAAGTAATAGTGAGGTTAGACACAGGGTATTAGGGAATGATGGTAAATCAGTTGATGAGGTGATGAATCTTCATCGACTGAGATGGTTGTGCCACGTGTTACGTATGCCTGAACACCGATTACCACGACGCGCTATGATGATTAGTACTGGTGATTGTTGGAAGAGAGTTAGGGGCGGCCAAACCAAAACATGGCATCAGTGTTTGAAGTCACTAACTTCTAGTCTGAGCCATGTTGGCAGATGCAGACTACCTGGTTGGTATCCGCGTGACTATCGTAACCAATGGTTGGAGACTCTGTGTGACATGGCTCAGAATCGATCACAATGGCGTAGGTGTATACACTCTTTATCTTCCTTTAAACCTTGAGACTAAAATTGCTTCATATCTCTCTTCCTTCCTGTACTATATCCTTATATTCAACCTATAATTTATATACTACTACCACCACTAAATTAATTACTTCTATGAATCCGGTGTTGATCTTGTTGTGCTAACGAGGTATAGCAACTTGGACCGATGCATAAATGTGCCTAGTCCTACGTTGTAGCTGACTGACTGGAACGTTACGATCACTCTCGAGCCCAGGTAAAGGAAGAGGGTTGGCCATGGGGTCGGCAACCCCGTCTCGTAGAAAACAGCCCTGCTAAGAAAAAGCGCCAACCAGATCATTGTATGGGTTATTCGTAAATCCTATTTGTATCATAAGAATTTGTTTGTTGTTTGGGATATTCTCTATTCTGACTACTTGGTGAGCTAGCGATCGTGGAAAACTGCATTCTGGATCAATAGTCATTTAATGTTTTTCGTCTGTTATCTCATTTACCGTATTATTGGTGCTAAATAAACAATTTAGGGGCGGAAATCAATACTCGGCACTCAATAATGATGAGTTCCAAATAGCACGAAACTTGTAAGAAAACCAATGGTGATCAAACCAAAACATGTCAGATCATTGAATAATTGACTGTTTATTCGAATTTTGTTGGTGTGTGCAGTTACCGGCTCGTGATCCTTGCGATAACCACTACCAGTAATGGTCAGAGACGTTGGATGATGTGGCTCATGATCAGTCATAATTCTAAAAATGTGTTAATTCGAAGTATGAATACAAACTCATAAATCTCCATATAAGTCCTTCAAATGATTGAGCTATATTTCGGGCAATTGCATGTATGCGTGTTCCTCGGATGATCAGGGCGAACCTTGACCAATAGCGTGCACTTGTCAACATTTCTCACCTATCATTTAATTATAGGTTGATATATTCTACTAGCACAGCCTATCAGTTGCTATCTTCCTCTGATTATTCTTACTTAATGTGGGAACTCGTGCTGAGGCACATTTGTGCTAAGTTCTATGTTAATTATGTCCCATTGAGTAATTGTAATCTATTCTGTTTTGTTTAGAAAAATATTCTGTTACGTATTGTTATCATCATTATTTTGCTTCATAGGTTGAATTTTCAACATCCCCAACTACTCCTTTAACACATTGGAAGCAAACGTTACTATTTTTAGATAAGCCAATTCGTGTGAAACCAGGTCAGTGAGAATACACAAAACAACAGTGGGTAGTAATTTTTTCTATTATTTCTAATCCCATCGTCTTTTCTTCAAAACTGAATTGTTTAAAATCCAACTGCCTTAGTCAATTATAATCGTTACTGTAACAAATACAAGTGTAATTCGTGTTGTCTTCATAGTTAAATCACTCTTTGTTATGGTGTAGCTTAATGTGATGGCTATAATTTTCATTCATTTTCACTCATTTAGTATCATGTTTTTTGCTTCCTTTTGAACTTTCACGAGTAGGGAATTCCTACTCACCGCCTTCTCTCAAAGGGGGTGTTTACGAAATCGAGAGGACGAAAAGCGAATGTTCGGCGCTTTAAACGGGTAGGTGGACACGGTAAGTTCATCTAGGGTAGTTAGAAAACCCTCATTCTAAACCAATGGTGTGCATGGGCTCCAGTATCCTAAGGGAACAAGTGGCGTATGAATCAATTGTTGGTCACCGGCTAGCATGGGAATGCATTTCCTTACGATGCACCACTGCCTTGTGGATCAGATCTTTCGGTCAAAGGCTCCGGGTGTGGCTCCCTAAGAAAACCACCTGCTTCGGTTTGGGCACCTGGGCAGTACCATAGCTTTCACACAAATCAAATAAGATTTGTGTGGCGCATATTTACCTGGTGCTTCCTTGTACCAATATTTATGTGTTTAAATAAGTAAATAAAATTCACGATGGTGTCATCAGGCCTCGCAGAAAAATATATCTCATTCTGTTCATTAAATCTCTACTCCGTAGATCATTTAGTTAACGCATTCATTCTAATATCGTGATACATATTATTTAACCTTTTTTTTTCTTTTCATTATTTCACTTTAATATTCCAGTTTATTATTATTATTATCATTATTATTAGGCGATAAAATCTCTGGCATCATAACTATTCGTCGTGCAACTACTGATAATCGTGGTTTAGAAATCAATCTATTAATTGGTGAAACAGAAAATTCACTTGAAATTAAACAAACTTTTGATTTAATCGGTTAAAACTGATCAAAACATACACTGATTATAAGAGAAGAAGAAGATGATGATGATGATGAAGAAGAGGTTAACATGTATAAAAAGTAATTTGATCAGAGTAGACAATAAATAAACAAATAACCTTAGGTATGTACCTTTTTTTAAAAAAAAAATACAATTAAGATACATTTGCACATGAGTGAAATATACACAACAAGAAATACAACCCACCACCATCTATCCTCATTATGTTACATAACATTCTTTTTTGTAATTCAGTATATTCATTTAAATAAAGTCTATTTATTATCATCTAGGCTTCTGTTTTCGTATATTATGATTGCATAATGTTCATTGTATTCATTGGTTATGTTAATTTTTGTTATGATTTGATGTTTTTGTTTATGTTTGTATTTTTATGCTTGGATTTTATTTAGCTTATAAGAATAAATTTTTTTTCTTAATAACTCATTAAGTTCAGATTTCTGTACACTTGGCTTAGAGGTATGTGATGGTGAATAGTTACTATCAGTTATCTGAGCCGAAGTAGATGAAGAGAATTTTGAACCTGCGACTTAATAATTGAGAATCAAACATATTAATTTTAAATTATTGCATTCATAAAGCATTCAAGTGTTGAGCTAAACACAAATTGCGAGGGTTTATGATAGTACCTGGTTGCCCGAAAGTGAAGTCAGTGGATTGGGGTTCGACCTTGGGACTTAGTGGCCGAAATCCGGGCGCTCTGATCACTAAACTACAGCTGTAGATCGGTACCATTTATTCACTATTCTATAATATGAATCGTCTTGTCTAAGAGACTGATTCTCATTGAAAGACGATCATAAAAAAAATAGCGATCAGTAGGAATTGTTAGTTTAAGACATTTTTGTAGAATATCATTCGCCGATTAATTTCGCGTATTGGATCGCATATGGATTAGAACGCTTACACTTTTTTTTACGTTTTAGAGTTTGCACGATACCTTTCGGTTACTCAATAAATCTAAATTTAACAGCATCACACTTTTCACAACTCTATTCAAATTGTACAATAGTGTGTTATTCATTCATCATTCATGGAGTTAAATGAGTTCTTGTGTCTCTACCCAAAAAGATCCTGTTTGTGAATGACCTCAAGTATTCGTCCTTCGTACTCTTGTCACTGTTAATCTACTTCTTTTGAACACGACTCACGTCACTTAATGATATTATTTAGACTACTTAGACAATACGTTATTTCAAAGTTCCACCTGAGATTGCAGCTAATCATTTAAGAATCAATGAAAAATATTCCTCTTAGGTTCAATTCTATCGCACCTGTATAAACCAGTTTACATCTAATTGTCGATAAATAGTTTGTTACCGAGTAAATTTGTGTGCTTGGTTACTGTTGGATGACAGTTGAGCTTAGATTCACAGTACCAGTTGCATGTAAGCGTCACCATCTTTTTTCAGTGTTCAACGAAAGTACTGTTGTTAGATTTCCAAACGTCATTTCGTTCATTTAGTGCGTCATTGCTGCATATAACAGTGTAATTTTCACTGAAAGTGTCTAAGTTATTTATTATCTAAGTTATTTTTCATGAATATGACACTGTAGAACACCCGAAGTTGCCAGATGAAAAAAGGTAATTATATTGAAAGTTCGAGGTTAAAATGAAATCCTTATATGTTATTATATGCAACATTCACTTACCAAATGAAAAAAAAACATGCTAGGTATTGTATACATATTAACTGTTGAAAGGAATATGCCATGAAAATTCACGAACACATCCTATGACTGGTTTCACCATCATCATGTGCTCACTAATGACTAGCATTGTGAGGTAATTTCCGAAGTCCTATTAAGCAACCGTGACCAATGAAGTTCAAACGTATCTGACGTAACGATCCTACCGATCAAACACAATGGGAGATGGTCGCGCAATATTGAGAATAGCTTGAAGTTAGACATAAACACCGTTGAATGCTGACTTGATGGTCCTTCCACGGTGTGGGCAACCGGGAAGTGATAACTGCCCTCATACCTCTAACAACACTCAAGACCACTGTATTCATAATCAATCTCCTTCTTCAATTCCTACTACCTTGACTTTCAACACTAAACTTCCTCTCTCGGTTTCCTCCTCAAGTGTCACCATGGCCAACGATTCTAGTGCGCGAAACGCTGTCCCAGGTCTACTAAAACCTCGCTCCAAACTACACATTGGAGCCTTCAACGTACGTACTTTAAGTCAAATCGGTCAACAGGCCTCCTTAGCTAAAACCTTAGAGTCGCGTACCATTGATGTATGCTGTGTCTCCGAAACACGCATACAGGATCCTAGTGTGGTCATTCACCTGACCTCACCTCGCCAAAATGGACAGCCAACGAAATACACCCTCCGTGTATCTGGCGACCCGTTGGCTAGTTCTCGTGGACTTGCAGGTGTAGGTATAGCACTAAGTACAAGGGCAGAACAGGCACTACTAGAATGGATCCCCGTTGACAGTCGCCTGTGTGCTGTCCGGCTAAATGGCTCCGTAAGAACTCGGAAGGATAGGGACACACGTCGTTGCCTTTTCGTCGTTTCTGCCTACGCTCCCACTGACTGCAGCCATGATGAGGTGAAAGATGACTTTTACAGAAAGCTCTCTGAGCTTCTTCAGAAAGCTAAGCGCTCAGACATAGTAGTCGTAGCGGGTGACTTTAATGCCCAGGTAGGCAGCTTAAATCAAACAGAAAGACATCTAGGTGGGTGTTTTAGTATTCCGGCTCAACGAACCGATAATGGTGATCGTCTGTTGCAACTATGCTCAGACAATCGTTTATTTTTGGCAAGCACTAATTTTAAACATAAGGAGAGACATCGTCTAACATGGCGACCACCTGCACCAAACCAACGATGGACTCAAATAGACCATATTGTCATCAGTCATCGTTGGAGAGGCTCAATAGAAGATTGTCGCTCGTATTGGAATACTTGTTTAGACTCTGATCACGCTTTAATACGAGCACGCATTTGTCTGCGCCTCAATGGACGCAGGAAAAGTAAACTAAGAAGACCCGTTAGGATTGAACTGGAGGACGAGAAAGCCAAATGTGAATTCCAGAGACAACTGAGTTCACATCTAGGCAGTTCTGTAAACGAGACTGACCCAGATGCTGCTTGGAAAGGCATACGAACAGCTGTGGAGACAGCAGTAACATCTATTAGTCATTTAAACCATAGGGCTCCAAAAAACCAGTGGATTTCTTCTAGGTCTATTTCACTGATGGATTCGCGTAAACTCATACCATCAGGCTCTGAACATGACGAAGAGCGTAAAGAAATTAGATCTAGGTTAACGAAAAGTCTAAGGAACGATCGTGAGCAGTGGTGGGCAACGAAAGCAAAAGAGATGGAAAAGGCAGCGGCTGTAGGCAACACCAGGCAACTATTCAGACTAATAAAAGAAACTGGAATTAAGAAGTCAAGTGTAAGTGAGACGATCTCGGAAAAAGATGGAACCCTTATCTGCTCTCTACCCAAACGTTTAGAACGATGGGCGGAACACTTTAAGGAGCAGTTTAGCTGGCCTTCAGCTACTGCACAACTACCCACTATTCCTAGAAAACCTGAATGGAACATTGAAGTAGGCCCCCCGACCCTACTTGAAGTTCAAAAGGCTATAGGTAATTTGAAACGAGGAAGAGCAGCTGGTCCTGATGGATTGGCTCCAGAGGTCTTTAAATATGGTGGTCCAATTTTAGCGATTAGGTTGACTAATATTCTGGCTAAAATCTGGGAGACGGATGTAATCCCATCCGACTGGTCACAATCACTGATTGTCCCAATATATAAAAAGGGGTCAAAATCATCCTGCGATAACCATAGAGGGATTAGTCTGACTAACATAGTATCTAAAATACTAGCCTCAATAATTATCAGGCGCCTAACTAAAACTCGTGAACTGCAAACACGAGAAAATCAGGCTGGCTTCAGACCTGGTCGTGGCTGTATCGACCACATATTCACCATTCGTCAAGTTTTAGAGCACAGACATGCTTATCGGCGTCCGACAATGATAGTTTTTCTTGACTTGAAAGCAGCATTTGACTCTGTAGACCGAGAGGTTCTGTGGCAGTGTCTGTCATTGAAAGGTGTACCTGAGAAGTACATAAACCTTGTGAAGGCTCTTTACTCGAACACTATCAGTCGAGTGAGAGCTTATGGTGAACTGTCATATGATTTTACAACCTCAAGTGGTGTCCGTCAAGGCTGTCCACTATCCCCATTTTTGTTTAACTTCATTATAGACCTGTTGCTGCAAATGACACTCTCGTCGACTGAGTTTACAGGAATTGATCTCCTACCAGGGGGACCACTAAGCGACTTAGAATACGCAGATGACATAGTCCTGTTTGGTGAAGACGCTGACAAAATGCAGAGTCTTCTGTTGGAACTGAGTAATAATGCCAGGATGTTTGGGATGCGTTTCTCCCCATCCAAATGTAAATTGTTACTCCAGGACTGGCCTGCGTCAACACCCGAACTAAGGATAGGGAGTGAAGTAGTCGAACGCGTGGAGAACTTCACTTATCTTGGAAGTCTGATCAGCCCTAATGGGTTGGTGTCTGACGAAATCTCAGCACGGATTCAAAAAGCTCGTTTGGCATTTGCCAACTTACGTCACCTATGGCGAAGACGAGATATCCGTCTATCAATTAAAGGACGAGTATACTGCGCAGCAGTTCGCTCTGTTCTACTTTACGGCTGCGAAACATGGCCATTAAGAGTAGAAGATACTCGTAGGTTACTAGTATTTGACCACAGATGCCTTAGAAATATTGCTCGCATCTGCTGGGATCACCGAGTAAGTAATAGTGAGGTTAGACGCAGGGTATTAGGTAACGATGGTAAATCAGTTGATGAGGTGATGAATCTTCATCGACTGAGATGGTTGGGCCATGTGTTACGTATGCCTGAACACCGATTACCACGACGCGCTATGATGACTAGTATTGGGGACGGTTGGAAGAGAGTTAGGGGCGGCCAA